AAATTTTGGGGACATTTGACGGGATTTACATATGTAAATGCCGTTACCTGATTTACATGGTTACGGGATTTACATACAACATATACAAAGACAATTTACCCACCATTTCGATGTACACTGTTCAAGGAAGTCCTGGATTTCAAGTCCACTGCTACAAAAGGATCCAACGTCCATTGGTTCAACCATAGCAAAACATTAATTGAATAAAGTATTTTATACGATACCAGATTGCTCCATTAATGACTCGTCATAGTCGTCCATATTAATATACGACTTTGAATCGTCAGTAAAACGTTCATTTTTTTGCAGCTACCGAAAGCCGATCGGGGTTAGGAAAAAAGACCATTCCAGTGGTTTCATCGTGCATGTTTGTTTGGTGTACATTTACCATCGATTATTTCGGAGTTTTATAATTCAAAAGATTCGACAAATTATTACATAAACAATATTTTATTTCAGTTTTACGATCAATAATACATAATTAACGTCTCTATATAAACTGCTATACGGCTACTCTTCTAGAGATCTACTTTTCGTTCGTGTCTGGTTAAGACGAGGCCGTTTGTCAGTGTATTATGCGAGTGTATGTAAATAAGTATACAAGTTATAACGTACTACTCACGGATTCGTAAGTGTTAATTATTATATGCTTGCTTACGCGTAGGCTGTTCGCCTGCCAGCTGTCTAATATTCTTGTATTTTATTTGACATTTGTTATTATGCGCTTGCTTACGCGGTTACAATCGGATATTCTTACATTCGTTCACGTCGTAAGCAAATCGGTATGTTACGAGTGTGGGACCGGCAGACATCATTTCATTTACGTTGCGAAGAGAGGTGTCCGCTGCGTTCTTAAGAAATAATGACAACGTGCTGAATAAATCTCAACGAATCAACGCAAACAATAAAATAATAATGTGTCGAGTAACTGTTTCCACATCACTTATTCACAAAAGATGGTACAAAAGAGATTCATAGCAATCCACAAGAAACACCCTATCATTTTTGCTACAAGGTTTGATTCCAACATTTATCAGTAAAACTAGTTATACATAATGCAATTAATTGATTGATTTGTATCCCCAGCAGACCTCCGAGAGGAAAGAAGAGCAGACATCAATGAGCGAAAATTGTACGGAGAACCATGGGGAGTTGGCACGATTTCACGGGCGATCTGTTCACAGAAATACAAAAAAGTGAATAGGTAGATAATCAGACTGACGAAAACAGCATCACTAATAACGATGTTTATTAAAGACACCCGAAAAGTTCTAAGTGAATCAAGCGAGCAAAAGAATAGCATCAGGGAGTGTGGACATAACTAGCCGTGTCCGGAAAAAATAGCTAGATTAGACAGTGTGTTTTATATACCACTATAACTTGACAATAAAATTGGCCCATCGTGTTTAACATGATATTACTGTTCCTATTGATTTCACGATTTATTAATTCGACTTTCCAAGTAATTCGATCACCTTGAGCAAGACCAGATTTTTTAATATGATTTATACTTTTTTTAGTACATCGTCGTTAATTTGACTGATGACTCCAGTTTAAAGACGATTGAATATACTCGATGTTAGAGTCATTAATCAATCTACTCAATTACATGAAATTTATAACCCTCACATCCAATCGCCATTCTACATTTCTATGTAGGGGCGGATTTTATTTTGTCACACCATAATAATAATAATACGATTATTCGATAATCAGGAATTTATCCAACATGTTACACACATCCGACATGTTACACGGCCATAATTTTACCTAAAGCTGTACATGTCGGATTGTACTACCCTTAAAAAGAAAATATTATGACCGTGTAACATGTCGGATAATATCGTTTATATTCGGACGACCATTAAGGCAGCTGACTGTAGAACGCACTACAAAAATGTTTGTATGCAAAAACACGATAAAAATCAATCTCTGGATTAGTGTCAAATTAATGATAAATCGTTTCTGAATTAGAAATATATGGATTACTCCTTTATTAGTTTGTCTCAAATGAAAGCTCATTACATGATCGTTTATTGTAATACTAAGCAGTACGATCCTTTTTCTGACCCCACGCCCTCATCAACCCCCACGTGACACCATACGCTATGAGCTCCTTGACTGCAGCTTCGCAAATAGCATCATAGTGTTCCCCAGTCACGTTCATTACCGCTGTATAGGGAAATTTCAGTCCACGCCAGAGATCTCGCCAGTCTCGTATTGCCTTTATATGACATAAATGTAAAGAGCTGCAGGCAAAGATATAAACAAGTAACATATCATTGTACAAAGATCGTTCGCTTACCATTTCAGCGTATTTGTCTCCTTTTGGCCCTACGGGGACGACTGTTTCCCCATAACCAATGTTTGTAAGCCAACTAGATTGTTCCAGGAAGCCCCGGATTTCCAGGCCAGGTGCCACAAGCAGGTCCTTTGATCCAGCTATATCAATCCCTTAAAAAACAAAAGATCGCTAATTGAGTAAAGGGATATCCGTTGCAGCTATCAATGAATCGAATTCTTCCCAATCTCAACTTACATGCTTTATTCAAACGTTGAACATTGTCACATTCGCCTCTTAACACTCCATCAAACTCCGCCAACTCTACCCATCCGCCTGGCTTGGTAACTCTCACATACTCTGGAATAGCAAGCTCAGTCCATTGTGTGCTTGTAAATACTGAAAGAACTGTTCTGGAAAATACGTAATCGAACGAGTTGTTATTAAAAGGAAGTCCATCAAGGACGTTGTATTCGATGAATTCGACATTGCTAGGCTTTTCTTCCGCAAGGACTACAGGTGCAATATCTATGCCGATAAAATGAGAATTAGGATATTGTTTGGCTAATTCTAGCGTCCAAATAGCTGAACCGCAACTGTGAAGGAGAAATAACAATAATTAGATGTATTATAAGTAATTGATTGGTGTATAGCTCCATTAAACTCTTTGTCGTCTCTCAACTAACCAAACATCAAGTACCCTCGCCCCACTCCTTAACAGTTGATCGACAGGTGCCGAAAAATTCCCATTGAAGCCATGCTTCCAGACAGCGTGTTGTATGTCTAATCTTTCTTCTTCTCCTGAATCGTTTGGCAAGAAATAATTTGAATCATCTAACAATTGAAATCGTCGCCCATCTACGATTTTGAACTTTTCGTTAAAGTGTTCAGCCCGCTTTCGTCGTATTAGAGAACAACAGCCACCCATCGTTTACTGAAAGCCGAGGTTAGATGGTGTCATTATATAATATATATAGTACTATAAAAATAAATGTGGTGCCACCGTCAGTGAAAGGAAAAAGATTTGCCCGGAGTGAGAATCCAATTTCAGTGGTTCGTCGTGCATGTTTGTTTGTTTATATTAATTTACGATCGACCATTCCAGGCACTTTACAACTAGAAAAAAAACGAGCTTTTCGAGGATGAATATTTCATTCTTTCAGACTACTTAAGTGACAGGCAAATTCACCTATTCTATTAGAAGACTGACAATAACTCTCAATCTCTGGGTTGGTGAAAATTAATGATATCGCCTATTGTCGCCATAATTGTTTCTTAATTAAGTCATAAAAAATATACCGAATATGCTTTATCAATTAATTAGTTCCCAAATAAATATTTATGCACTCGTAGGGGTCATACATTTGGGATCGCGACCAAAGTTTCTCATAAAACAATAAGACTTAATAACATGATAATAATACAGTCGATATCAGAGAAGAACGAAAGTCACCGTTGCGAGTTACTAGGATGTGATCATAAGAACAAGAATACGTCACATATTGATTCATGTGACAACAATGACAGGGTACTGACACTCTCTCTTATGCTTATTTACTAGACTAGTATTTATAATATCCCCACGTGCCTACTTCTTTATTGCAGATCAACTATTGCAGGGAATTTCATCCCATGGACTTCAGCTGCCAAAGAAATAAATCAGTAACATATCATTGTATACGTAGATTACAACTCACCATTTCAGCTTATTCTCCTATCGGGACTGATGTTTGTATACATTATATTCTACGAATCGACATTACTCGGCTTTTCTTCCGTAAGGATTACGGGTGCAATGTCAATAAAATAAGAATTACGGTATTCTTTGGCTAATTCTGAGGTCCACGAGCCTGAACCGCAATTGTGAAGGAAAGTAATAATGGATTATAAGTAATTGATTGGCGTGTAATCCCATAACCGTTAAGCTCATCATCCTCAACTAACCGACATCAAGTACCCTTGCCCCATACTTCAATAGTTGGTCAACAGGTTCTGAAAAATCTCCATTGAAGGCATGTTTCAGAATAATGCGCTGTACGTCTAATCTTTCTTCTTTTCCTGAATCGTTTGGAAAACATAATCGTTGAAATCGTCACCCATCTATGACTTTGAATTTGTCCCGAGCAGCCACCCACCGTTCAATGAAAGCCCGGACTATATGTCGTCAATATATTTGTAGTATTAGTAGCACATTACCAAAACAAAAAAGTGTGATACTACAGTCAAACGGATCGGGGGTGGAAAAAAAAGCCATTCTGGTGGCTCATCGTACGTGCATGTTTGTTTGATGCTTTGTCATCGATCATGGTTTCATCATTCGAAAAAAAGACAACAAACGAGGCCTTCCCAAGGATGTAATATTTCATTCTTTCACAAATGGGTATCACCGACCAATTCCTGTTGCAGAATCGGGTGTTAAAGCGATAGGAAAAGGCTCGATAAAGTCTATAACGACAGTAAACATATCTAAATGTAAAATTGCAGGCTTTTAAACGTATTTCATTTGGTTATTGATAACAAATAGTTGTCGTCATAAACTAATTGAGATTTAACCAGAATACTAGAACGTAGATCTAACACGCGGTAAATGTGAAGCAAATCAATCTCTGGTTTAGTGACGAACTTAAAGATATTATCGCCATATTGTTTCTGAATCAAATAGCTGGTTATAAATATATGGAATACTCTTGTATCAGTTAAATTATTCAGAGTTTGTCCTAAATAAATACTTATTACATCTGTTTGTTATTATTATCAGTCATACTACATATTACGACTCGTTTTCTGACCCCACGCTCTCATAGTGTCCCAAGTGCAACCAAATCTTATCAACTCCTTGATTGCTGCTTCGACTATAGCATCATAATGTTCCCCAGTCACCTGCATTATTTTTGAAAAGGGGAATCTCATTCCATGATAGAAATCTCTCCAGTCTCGTATTCCCTATATATCATGACATTAATATAAAGAGCTGCAGCCAGCGACATAAAACCAGTAACATATAATTGTATGTATGAAGGTCGACAACTCACCATTTCAGCGTATTTGTCTCCTTTTGGTCCTATTGGGAGTGTCCTTTCCGTATAACCAATGTTTGTAAAGAAACCAGACTGTTCCAGGAAGCTCTGGATTTCATAACCAGGTGACGGAATTAGGTTCTTGGAATCAAACATAGTAGCGGCTTGATAGGAAAAAGTAAATTCATCAATTGAGTAAAAGTACCTGGCGCGATATCACATTACCTCTCGAATTCATACCATCCCAACTTACTTGCAGTGTTTAAACGTTGAACATTCTCACATTCACCACTTAATAATCCAGAAAACTCCATCAGCTCTACCCATCCACCTGGCTTGGTAACTCTCGCATACTCGGGAATAGCAAGCTCAGTCCATTGTGCCCTTGTATATACCGCGAGAGTAGCTCTGGCAAATACGTAATCGAACGTGTTGCTGTTAAAAGGAAGTCCATCAAGGACATTATATTCTACGAATTCGAGATTACTAGGCTTTTCGTCCGCAAGGACCACAGGTGCAATGTCTACGCCGATAAAATAAGAATTAGGGTATCTTTTGGCTAGGTCTATGGACCAAACACCTGAACCGCAACTGTGAAGAAAAGTAATGATGGATTATGAGTGCTTTGTGTATAGTTCCATTAAACTCTTCGTTGTCTCTCGACTAACCAAGCGTCAAGTACCCTTGCCCCACTCCTCAACAGTTGGTCGACGGGTGCTGAAAAATTCCCATCGAAGAAATGGTCAAAGAGAATGTGTTGCATATCTAATCTCTCTTCTTCCCCCGAATCATTTGGCAAAACATAGTTTGAGTCATCTAACTGTTGATATCGTCGCCCATCAATGACTTTGAATTTGGAGTCAACTTCTGCATTCTTTCTTCGTCGTACTAGAGAACAACAGCCACCCATCGTTTAATCAACGCTCAGCTTTAGATGGTTGTCAAACATATAAGATACCGTAACGTGCATGTTTGTTTAACCGTCGAGCATTTCAGGGGTTTCGTAATTTCGAAAAAAAGCATGGGTATATTTCAAAAGGAATTTTGCCTACTTTAATCAAATTTTTGGGGGACTTTTTTTTGATTTTAATCCGATGTCGTACTATTATTATACGGACAGGTTAACATAAGAGCTACGACGACACTAATCTAATACGAAGAAACGTCAAGTGCAAACTTATAACCTCTTTGGAAAGGTCTGACTACGAAATTTACAGAACTATTGCGAGGGATTGCGGGTAGCTTGAAAGAATAAACTGTCTGAGAAACGTTATATAACAACACTATCCAATACACAGAAACGTTATGCCAAGTCATAATCTTTTTAGAAAAGTCTGAGTGTGAAGATTGCAGAACCATTACAGGGGATTTGCGGGTAGCTTTAGTGGCAAGAGTGAAAGAACTGTCTGAGCGAGTGACAGGTGAGAATGTATGAGAGACAGAAAGAACAAGAGAGTGTAAGAATAATAAAGCAAGAATGGGAAATTAAAAGAGTGAGAGAGTGAGAAAGTAATTGTGAAATAGCAAGAGTGCGAGAGCGGAGGTGAGCAAAAGAGTGGAGTTATTGAGAGTGGTGAATAAGTGAAAGTACAAAGCATGATTGAACGGCAAGAGAGCGATTGAAAGAAGTAGAGTGAGAATTAAATAGTGAGCAATTGAAAGAGTTCGAGTGATTGCAAGAGGAGTGAGCGGGAGTAAGAGGGTGAATTTGAAAAAGATCAGGAGCGATCGAAAGAAAGAGATCAGGAGTTCAATTACTGGATAAAAGACTAACTAAACAAAAAGTGTGAGCACGTAGAAAGAATTGGAGAGCGGATGGGAGAGTGGTTGCGAGGGTGGTTAGGTGGGCGATTGGGAAGAGTTGGGAGAATGTCAAAAAAGAGCAGCGATGTAAGAGATTGAAAGAATAATAGAAAGTTATCAAAGAAGCAAAAAAGGGGAGATGGAAATTAACATACTATGGGACACAGTGTTTGTGTTTGTTGAATTGTTAGTGATTGATGAGCGAATCGATTCCGCGTTTCAAAAAATCAAGCCAGTCATATGCACAAATTCAAATCATGCTTAATAGTTGGTGTCAATTTTTCGCACACATACTGACGAGTGAATATTAGGGTTGTTGGTTGCTGAATTGTTAGTGATTGACGACGAAATCGATTCGCGTTTTCAGAAAATCAATCCAATCGATATATGCAAATGTTGAACATTCTCACATTCACTCTCAATAATCCAGAAAACTCCAACTCTACCCATTCACTTTGCTTGGTAACTCTCACATACTCGGGGATAGCAAGCTCAGTCCATTGCGGTCTTGTATATACCGCGAGAGTAGCTCTGGCAAATACGTAATGATGGATTACAAGTACTTTATGTATTAGTATAGCTCCATTAAACTCTTCATCGCATCACTCTCAACTAACCAGGCGTCAAAAATAATTTGAGTCATCTAGAGAACAATCGTTTAATGAACGCCCAGATTTAAAATATGTGATACGGGCATTAGGGGATATTTGTTTGACGCAATGTTTACCCGATCATTTTAGGTGTGATTGGGCAAATTCACCTAATTATTAGATTACTGATATCGATTTCTATACGAAGAAGTCTGCAGAAGACAGAAACGTACCTAATTTAATAATTATTTCTGATTTAAACAATTGGTTATAAATATGTCGTTATTAATTATATTCTAAGATTGTCCCAAACTAATTGACTGCTCATTAATTACCGTCAGTCACGATCCTTTTTCTGAACCCACGCCCTCATATGTTCCCAAATGACACCATGCTCTATGCACTCTTTGATTGCAGCCTCGGAAATAGCATCATAGTGTTCCCCAGACACCTGCATTACTGACGAAAAAGGGAATTTCATTCCACGCCAGAAATCTCTCCAGTCTTGTATTCCCTGTACGTTACAAGATTCAATGTAAAGATTGCAACAAAAAATATAAAACCAATAACAAATCATTGTATATAAAGGTCGACAACTCACCATTTCGACGTATTTTTCTCCCTTTGGTCCTATCGGGGCAGACTTTTCCGCATAACCAATGTTCGTAAACCAACCAGAAAGCCCCGGATTTCCAAGCCAGCTGCCACAATCAGGTCCCTCGCTTCAGAGATGGCAACGGCTTAACAGAAAAAAAATTCATTGAGATAAAAGTATTTGGCTCGCGAAGACGCAAATTTGAATTTAAATACAAGAAATTCATCCCATCCTCAACTTACCTGCATTATTCAGACGTTCTTAACATTGCATCAAACTCCATCAACTCCACCCATCCACCTGGCTTGGTAACTCTCACATACTCGGGAATAGCAAGCTCAGTCCATTGTGGTCTTGTATATACTGAGGTAACAGCTCTGGCACGTGGTGTTTTACTCTCCCTTACTTCACTGCCCTATTAGAGCAATGGTCCGGAGGTATACTCGGAGATAAGCTTCGCCCAACCGGTGACCCTCGAACGAGTTGCTATTAAAAGGAAGTCCATCAAGGACATTATATTCTACGAATTCGACATTGCTAGGCTTTTCGTCCGCAAGGACCACAGGTGCAAAATAAGAATTAGGGTATTCTCTGGCTAATTCTAAGCCAAGCGGCTGAACCGCAACTGTGAATCAGCAGGGATGAATACTACTAATTCGACATTACTAGGTTTTTCGATCTCAGGTGCCGAAGTAGGGTCCAAGCGGCTGAACTGCAACTGCGAAGAAAAGTAGTGATGGATTATAAACACTCGATTGGTGTATGGTTCCGTTAACCATTAAACCCTCACATCAAGTGCCTTTCCTCAACGGTTGGTCGACAGATTCTTAAAAACTCCATTGACGGGATAAGGCGTTGATCATTTGGCAAAAATAATTTGAGTCATCTAATTGAGTCATCTAACGTCGTCCAGTCCATTTATGACTTTGACTTTGGCATTAAATTGTTCATTCTTTTTTCGTCACCGAAGAAGTGGTAACACGATAATTAATAATAATAATTGGCAATTACGGTAACCCTTTCATGATTATCTGTTACGCAAGACAGAACCTTAATCGGCTGAAAGAAAATCCAATTTTGATCGACACGAAACAGATTTTGTTTCGCCAGACTTTCCCAAATGTAGATTGACTCATAAACAATCGATAGTATTGCTAATAAACACACAAATTGGTGTTAGTTGTGTCTCAAATTCTTGGCAATGTAATCCCTGTGTTGAAAGCTTATTTATCGTTCAATGAATTTGGGAAATTTGCGAACGAGTCTGCAATCTAAGTTTTTTCTTCTTATTTATGCAAGGTTATGCGGCTGCATGTTAGAACTATCTTGCATCAAATCGCAGTATCTCTTACAAAGTTTAGTTTTTGATAGATCGGAAGCACCCCGAATTTTGGTTTCGTATTTGATACATCTGCGGCAAAAGTCACCAATACTCAGAAAATTTCCAGCCATGTGACACAATTACTAATAAACACGCAAACAGCTCTTGTCGTTATATTTACCATGACACGCAAAAGATTATTATTGTAATAAACTGTTTTGTCATAATTGATCAAGTTTGCTTCTGTAAAACACAACCAAGTCGATACAACAATTGTGCAATATGTTTTACTTAGTATCTGTGTAGCATTGATAATATAAATAAATTCCTGTCGCGCTTAATTACCTCGCGTCTTGTATTACAAAGAAGGAAGCCTCAATTCGAACCAACAGGCTTCTGCGTTGTCAAAAAGCGATATATATCTACTGCAGAGAGTCTTGCACCTTGAGATGCCAACGTTGGTATTGCTATATCTGATGCAACAAATAGCGACAGATTCACTATTGTTGCACTATCTTTTATGTTGCAGATAAAGAGACTGGTAAGGAAGAGCGAGAAGAAGAATTCCATATCAAGAGGATAAAGGTGAAGATAGTAAGAAGAATCTGCCAGATCGTTCTTCTACTCGTGTGTTTACTATGGGAGGTTCAAGGAATACGTAAGAAGAATTGGGCTTACGAGGAAGGAATATTCCAGCACGGGACCAGCATCCACGCATATGATCTAAAGGGCGGAAAGCAACCCGGGTCTGGTTGGCTTCGTGTCTATTTTTGATAATACATCTGTGATAGTGTTACAAACATACTGTAGGGGAACCCCATATTAGATAATATTAGATTTCCAAAAAAAATTTTTTTTTTGCCGATCATTACAAATAGTAAGAACATATAGACTTCAAACTGAAGCTGGTAGAACAGTTTACGAAAACCAGGTTTTAAAAATTTTCTAATAAGCGAACTAACGTTTATGTCAAAAAAAAAAAAAAAAAACAAAAAAAAAACGAACGGACAGAACTATTAGTCTTGTTCGTAAATGCATCTATCTGTTTCAATTTGATTTAAATTCGAAATTGATGTTTACAAACATTGGGATCAAGTTCAGGGGGGGTGTGTGTAACATTATGAACCCCAACAAATGATAGCGAAGAAGACATAGTCTAGATTATAAAAAAAAAAAAGAATTGTACTACGAATATTACAGTATTATAAATTGAACGAACGACCATCTCCAACCTTGGCTTTCGTTAACTATGGGTGGCTGTTGTTCTCTAATACGACGAAAAAAGAATGATCAACAATTTAACTCCAAATTCAAAGTCATAGACGGGCGACGATTTCAACAATTAGATGATTCAAACTATGTTTTGCCAAACGATTCAGACGAAGATGAGAGATTAGATATACAACACATTATCCTGAAGAATACCTTCAATGGGAATTTTTCAGCACCTGTCGATCAACTGTTAAGGAGTGGGGCGAGGGTACTTGATGTCGGGTTAGTTGAGAGAGGGCAAAGACTTTAATGGAACTACACACACCAGTCAAGTACTTATAATCCATCCAATTACTATTATTTTTCCTTCACAGTTGCGGTTCAGGTGTTTGGACCTTAGACCTAGCCAAAGAATACCCCAATTCTCATTTTGTCGGTATAGACATTACTCTTGCAGGCGTTATGGGAGAAACACCTAGTAACGTCGAATTCATAGAATATAATGTCCTTGATGGACTTCCTTTTAATAGCAACTCGTTCGATTATGTATTTGCCAGAGCCCTTATCTCGGTATATACAAGGGCCCAATGGACTGAGCTTGCTATTCCCGAGTATGTGAGAGTTACCAAGCCAGGTGGATGGGTAGAGTTGATGGAGCTTGGTCTTCCGAGAGATGGCAACGATATTAATATTCAACGTCTGGGTAATGCATGTAAGTTGAGAATCTATTGACGGATGCAATGTAATAATCATATCAATACTTTTACTCAATTAATGATTTCTTCCTTAAGGGATTAGTATTGCTGAATCGAAAGGCTTAGTTGTGGAAACTAACTTTGAAGTCAGAGGCTTCATTGAACAGTCTGGTTTTTTTACAAACATTAATCACGAGACACAACACGTTCCTATAGGGCCAAAGGGAGACAAGCACGCTGAACTAGTGAGTGAATATAATATGTTATTAGTGAAATCCATGATTGCAGTCTTTACATTTATGTCAACGCAACGTTTTACACTATACAGGGAATACGATGCTTTCGGGACCTCTGGTGTGGACTGAAAGTCCCCTATATGGCAGTCATGCAGGTGACTGGGGAACACTATGATGCTATTGTCGAAGCAGCAGTCCATTCGCTCATACATAAGGGTACCACTTGGGAATTTACGAGGGCATGGGGTCAGAAGAAAGGATAATACTGTTTAGCAATACAGTGAACCCTCTCTCTAATATTGGGACGGCGATATGGGGATGTTGGGGTCTAATGACGTGACGTCATATGTAATAATATTATATACGATATTATGTCTCGAATTAAATCTTAAACTTTATTTATAACAAAAAATTTCTTTATTTCTTTATTTCTTTCTCCATATAAACTAAACCAATCTGTTCACCTTTTTATGAATTGTGGTACTCTCTCTTTTGATGAAAAATCTGTTAACTTTTTGTGTCGTATATATTCGATTGAATGTGCCGCAACAGACTGCAATTTTAGCATGTCTTGCTTTGGCGGGGTACATAATGCAGTAGTTTATCGTATTATTAATAAACAATACTATTGTTGAAGATTGACGTTTTACGGTACCGAAAAACGTTATTCTCGTGTGTAGAAGCACGCATGTAGTGGGTATCATAAGTGACCAAATCGGAAACGAGTATGCACAAAAAAGCCCCCGCAGACAGACTAACAAGAAAGCATCGATGCTTATAGAAACAAAACTAGTAATTACTAGAGCAAACATGAGTCCCTTGAATTATCATTAGTCATTAGCCAGATTATTCCATTTAGTGCGATTGTTAGTAATCAGCCCGATTATCCCATAGTAATAATTGTCACAGAAAAATCCCCGTGACCGATTTTCTGTTACCTAATTGTTGCGGGTACCGCTCAAAAATCACGTCATAATCACACAAGGGTTAACTTTACCAAAAGTTTCCCTTGCCTTAGATACCCAATTTTTCTCTGCCGGCCAAGCATACGTTGCATTAAGTAGATGCCCAAGTTGGGACCAAATCCAAATACAATCTTTTCACAAAAACGCATTCATTACAGACACAGAAATATTAATATTACAACAGCGACTTTACCAATAATATGAATAAAATCCGCTTACTCATAACCCGGGCACTGAAACAAATGCCTTAATCGACATAAAACTTTTAAGTTTATGTGATGACACCTCTAGTTTTAAACTCCATTCCACGTTCGGAATTATTCTTTGGTCGAAAATTCTTGTCTAATCCAACATCGTTAGTATCTCGGGAATAATGACATTTGCGTGCAGACACACTCTCCTTCTGATTAACTGAGTGATTTTTCCGTTTCTATTTCAATACTGCGAGCTTGACTTTCGCTTTATCTTTGGAGTGGGATAAGTCTTCTTCTTACATTTCTTTGCGCCACCGAGAAGACGAAGAGCTAAATGAAGCGTCGAATTTTTTTCGATGTTGTATTTGGTAAGTGTTTGATCTGTTTGCGCGAATAAATTCTGGCCACTTCTTATTTCAACTCTGACTTTGTCATGTTAAAAGCGAGCCTGTAGCAGGATATCGTTGCTTGGAAATAAAGTCGTATAAATACCGTATATGTCAAATAAAATTATAACGGGTTGTTCAAAAAATACTTTATGAATTTAGAGTAAATGGATGCTCGTTTATTGATAAGATTAAAGATAGGAAGGGTATTGATGCTCAGTCTACACTATGCTATTTATATATCTTTTCGGACTGCTAATTGGTTATTTTTAGCATCGTAATCTTTATTGTCTAATTACTAATTTCCTGCTGTACGTACTGCAATCGTGCAATTGATCGAGAAACTCACACAGCGACCTCTCCATTTTGTCCGCATGGATCGAAACGTGATTGGTTGGTCATTGATCTCGACAACAATCGACCCGAAATGTCAGCACAACGATCTTCACTATATACGAGCTTGTCATTGTACTACACGTATTGCTAAAACTTAAACGTTTATTGACTTTATTATTATTCGATTCGCAATCAAATCAACGATCAAAATATTAATATTCATACCATCCTCTCTCTTATCTTTCTGGTAGAATTGTGTAATAAAACTGATATTAAAATAAGAAAATAGTATGAGAACAATCTACGTTGAGGAATAGTCTTATTTCCTTGTATTATTTTCTTATTTCATATTCTCTTTTTACGATAACTTTTTACATTTTTTATTCATTCATACTATAACAAATATCCAATTCGGTAATGCTTATAAAGATATTAAAAACACAATTATCAAGTCTTTAAACTGAGATTCTATTCTCGCGCTTGCAATCGCCTTTTTTACCAAACAAAATATAATATTGTGTAATTTGAACAGAAATAAATTGAGGCGCTTACCTCAATCACTCACATTTATTCGAACATGCCGCGCTGTAGTAATTGTAAAAACACTCTCCCAGAAAGCGATTTTAAAAAATTCAATGAAACCCTATCCAAAACGTGCATTCAGTGTCTGGATAAAAGAAAAAAAAGACACATTATTCATAAAAATTCTCTAAATCAATTAGAAGACGGTTCATCGGAATATCAGAATATTCAGACTGATACATCGTTAGATATTGACATCCAAACTGACAACGTTGAAAACAAGGAGGAAGCCATATTGATGAATTGTCTCAACTAATTAGCGAATTAATGTCGGGAAATAATTTGTTTGAATTTGACTTAGACGTTATATTTGACAATGAGGAAGGAGAGAACTCTGTTTTCTCAGATTGCTGAGAAAATTCGAGATAAGGTTGCAGAAGGCGACGGATACAAATGGAAGTAAGTATATACTACATTATTTTTAAGAATAACTTATTGATTAAAATTTATTCAGCAAGTGAAAGACAAACAATTCCGTGCGTGACACAAGGAATATCGCTACCGTTTACTATAACTGCAGCCAATCAAATAATCCTTGACGATTTCAAAGATACAAATCGAAAACGAATCAAGCGATATGAATGTAAAGGGCTACTTATCATTCGAATCAATATAACAAGTGCACATGTTCGCGTACATATGAGACATGCATCATATCATGAACGGCCGGATATATTCACTGGAGTGTCAAGCGAAGTTGTCAGTGAAATACGAAATAATTGTCACTTAGATCCGCTACAGCTACGTACACATTTAAGTGCCCGCTTTGATATAAAAGATGTGACTGCAAAGCAAATCTATTATTGGTGGAGCAATTCCGTGCAATCTAAGTATCAGAGACATAAAGATCCAATCCAGTCAGCAATTCTTTTGCTAGAGGAATATCAAGTAAAGGAATGCCGTATTCTGATGTCAACTAAGACAGATGTCCTGACTGCCATCGCCTTCTCAACGCCAATGATAGCACATGCACCAAATGTCAAAGAAATCCATATAGATGCCACATATAAAACTGCAAAGGGACGTTTTGAACTTTACGCAATAGTTGGTCAATTTCAAGGTTCTGGGTTTGC